ATTGTAAGATAGAGCCTAAGCAAGTATGTAAATTTTCGCTTGCATTTGAGTTTGGTGGTTAAAAAAAAAAGTGGTATTTGGGAGTAGGAAACCCACCTGTATGTGGAGTGGGAATGAGCAATGAGAACAATGTATTCGGAGAAGCCCAGGAGCACACCCATCCACAAAGCCACAACAGCTTCGCACAGGGAAATGGTGCACCTGAAGTTAGAGTTACCGTCACATCCAGGGCGCTCTGCTGGATAGCCCTCAGTTGTCCTTTGTGACTTTTCTTCAACAACAACAAAACCTAGAAAGATTCTCCATTACATTTGTAAGCCAGCTGTCAGGGTTCTGTACTGCAAACTGCCCAAACACTAGGAAACTACTGGAAGGCTGCCGAGGGCTCTCAGGACAGACTGGTAGCTGGAGGACCAGGGCCCTACCCTGAAGAACGGCTGACTGCTTCTCTAGCCCTCATAGGACTGGGACCTCAGGGTCCCCAACCAAAGCACCCAGGAGTGCCATGAGTGTGCCCCCAGCAGTCCAGGCTGCCATGGGACTGTAAATGCAGTAGATGCAGAGTACAACAGGGAAGAAGGTTTGGTGAATGTAGAAAAGAGGGGGACACGAAAGCTATGGCAGCTGGATTATATTGACATATCGTCTCTTTACAGTCACCATCTTTCTTAGGCTTAGCCTCCATGTTTATTAATATTTTCTTTTCCTTTAATGATTTTGTCCATTTAAACAACAACTTGGGAATTTAAAAAAATTTAGTCTTATTTTTTATCACAGTTGTTATGAGTACATAGTTTAATGAGTTCATAGTTCTACCCAGTTTCCAATGAAGAACAGCATTCCCTGACTTCTCATCCTTGTTTTCAGCTCCCCAGAGGAAAGTATTTGCAATTCTTTTTGACTGATTTATATAGTACTTATCTTGATAGTCCTAAATAGCACACTGGGCTATTGTTTCAATGTTTCATTTTTCAGCTTGATTGATTGATTGCCTTCCCACTATGGACAAATGGCAGTTTCATTCTTTCTCAGCATTGCATGCCCGCATGCTTTTCTCGTTCCCCAATCTTCCTGGAATAATCATTGGGTCCATAGTCTGTGTTTTTATTCATCCAACTATGTCAAGATGATTGACAATGAAGACATGGCGGGTTTGTCCTTCTAGTATTATCTGTGATTTTCTCTAATGTTAAGTTTTTTTTAAATTTCTATTTCAGTTGCTTAGGTTTTCCCTGTTGTCGATAACTGCCATCAAGTCGATTCTGACTCAGCAACTCTGTATAGGGTTTCCAAGGAGTGGCTGGTGGGTTTGAACCGCAAACCTTGTGACTAGCAGTCCAGTGCTTATCCTACACAAGGACTCCTAGGTTTTCCTATTTCTTATTACTTTGATCCCAAACTTTTCCCTAGTTCTGTAAATCTCCTTTTAATTTTAGCCCATTCAGTAATGTAAGACTCTCCCTAGGCTTTCTGACCTGCTCTCATCTGGGCCCTTGATTGTCGCTTGACTTGTTGACAAGCTCTCCCCATCATCTTGGGGGTTCCCTCGGCCTGTCTCTTGATTTAGGCCTCTTGCTTCTTGGATTCCTTGTTATTTTGACGGAGCATATCATCATTTGCTTCTCAGGAAGGTTATTGTCCTTTAGATACTTTGGTTCAGGAGTGGTTCCATTTGGTTCGGCTCCGTTTTCTTCTGTCTTCTAGGGCTCTTGCTGAATATCTGACTCCTTCTGATTTAACCGTTTACATGACTACATGTCTTCCCTCTAGAGCTTCTCTTGATCCTCAGTGTTGGGCAAATTTGCTCTGATATGAATTGGCCACTTACAAGACCTTTTCAGTCTGGGAAATTTTCTTGCATCAGTTGGTGTTCTCTGTTCTTTTTAGTATTCCTGATATCGAGATGTTAGCCCTCTTAAACTATCAGTTTTTTAGCTTTCCTCTTTTATTTTCTGTCATTGTTCTTTTCTTTCTGACAATGTTCCTCAACTCAACTCTTGTCTTAAGTTGTTCAGTTCTGCTATCAAAATGCATATTTTAAGTGTTTGTTTGTTTGTTTGCTGCTGTTCTCTAATATTATTGAACCACAAAGTTCATGATTTGAGCCCACCAGATGCTCTGTGTGAGAAAGATGAGGCTTCCTGCTCCCGTGAAGATTTTTAATAGCCTCTGAAACCCTAGACAGGGTCGGTACGAGTCGGAACCGATTCGACCTCACTTACAACAAGAGCAATTATATCAATGAATAATACAGAAACCAGAAATAGTACTTAAGTTAGAAGCCAACGAACGTCCTAAATTGTAGCATCAAGCAAGAGAAAAATTAGCATCATATAAAACATCTAAAATTCACTTGTGTATTCAATTCAGTGTCTATAAGGGTTATATCTTTCTTCTTGATTTTTTTAGTATTCCTTTTTAAATGTTTGTATCTTCCGCTCATCTGTCAGTTGCTTATATGCTGGTGGCTTGTGTGTGGCTGTAATGCTGCAAGCGGTGCCACTGGCATTTCAAGTACAGATGTCTCGCATGGTGGCCTGGTTTCAGTGGGGTTTCCAGACTAAGACAGACTAGGAAGATGGTCTTGATCACCTGCTTCTAAAAATTAACTTATGAAAACCCCATGGGTCACAGCAGAATCTTGTCCAATACAATGCTGGAAGGTGAGCCCCTTAGAATCCCCGGAGCCGCACATGGACTTGACCATTCGGAGGAGGGTGCAGGACGGGGCAGTGCTTGCTTGGTTCTCTTGTACAGGGGATTGCCCCAAGTTGAAGCGAACTTGACAGCACCTACAACAAACTTCCTCTGGTTTCTCTTTTCCCCTCTGAGTTTCTTTTTTGTCTTACTTTCATTTGATCTTTCATAGTACTTGAATTTCTGGTGATCTTTGGCTGACTCCTCATATTTAAAAGCAGGTCACCTCTTGGTCTCAGCCACAGAAGTGAGATGACAAAGGGAACGTCATCATTTGGAAAGCATTGCAGTAAGACACACACATTGTGCCGCTGCTATGGCTCAGAGGCCTGCCTCAGAAGTCCATCTGTGGCAAATGTGGCTACTCTGCCTGCCCAGTGCAAAAGAAAGTGTAACTGGAGCGCCAAGGCTAGAAAATGCAATACCACCGGTTCTGGTTGAATGAGACGCCTGAAAATTGTATCTGCAGATTCAGACATGGATTCCATGAAGGAACAACACCTAAACCCAAGAGGACAGCTGTTGAGGCATCCAGTTCATCTTAAGAATTTTAGCATCTACTTGTACTATAAATGTTGTCAGATTTTAAAAATAATAAAAGCAGGATGCTAAAGGGCTCTAGAAAGCTCTATACCTAGCATGAAGCTTATGAACTATGTATGGCCTTCCCTGGAGAGTGATCTTCCTTGGCCATTTCCTTGGAATGTCTGCTGTTTCTTGAGGTCTTTTATCTTGGCTGGTCAGATTCTGTTGATGTTATTATTAGATGCCATCAAGTCAGTTCCGACTCATAGAGACTCTGTGCACAACAGAACAAAATGTTGCCCAGTGCTGTGTTATCCTCACAGTTGTTAATGCTTAAACCCATTGCTGGACCAATGTGCCACTCCATCTCCTTGGGGGTCTCTTTCTATTTTGCTGACCCTCCACTTTATCAAGCATGATATCCTTCTCCAGGACGGGTCTCTCCTGATAACATGTCCAAAGTATGAGAAATGAAGTCTCACTATCCTGGCTTCTAAAGGGCACTCCAGCTGCACTTTTTCCGCAACAAGCCATGTTTGTCTTTCTGGCAGTCCATAGTACTTCAGTATTCTTCTCCAACACCACAGCTCAAATGCACCAGTTCTACTATGGTCTTCTTTATTCACATGCATGTGAGGTTATTGAAATACCATGGCTTGGCTCAGGTGCACCTTAGTCTTCAGATTGTTCTCTTTGCTGTTGAACACTTTAAAGAGGTCTTGTGCAGAGGCCTAATGCAGTACGTCATTGGATTTCTGGCTGCTGCTTGCATGAGTGTTGATTGTGGATCCAAGCAAAATGAATTCTTTGACAACTTCAGTCTCTTCTCCATTTATCATGATGTTATTTACTGGGCCAGTAATGAGGATTTTCTTGTCATCTACATTGAGGTGCAATCCATACTGAAGGCTGTAGTCTTTGATCTTCATCAGTAAGCATTTTAAGTCCTCTCCCCTTTCAGCAAGCAAGGTTGTATCGTCTGCATATTGAAGGTTATTAACAAATCTTTCTCCAATCCTGATGCCACATTCTTCCTATAATCCAGTTTCTTGGAGTATTTTCTCAGCATACAGATTAAATAATATGGTAAAAGGATACAACCCTACACACACCTTTTCTGAGTTTAGACCCTTCAGTATCCCATGTTCTGTTCAAACGACTGCCCCTTTTTCTATATACTAATTCCTCATGAGTACAATTCAATGTTCTAGAATGCCCATTCTTTGCAATGTTATCCATAGCTTGTCATGATTCACATAATTGAAAGCCACATAGTCAATAAAGCACAAGTCAACATCATTCTGGTTTTTTCTGCTGTTAGCCAGGATCCATCTCATGTCAGCAATGATGCCCCTAGTTTCCCATCCTCTTCTGAACCCAGCATGAATTTCTGGTAGTTCTCTGTCAGTGCATTGTTGCAGCCATTTTTGCATTATCTTCAACGTAGTTTTACTTGCATGTGATATAAATGATATTGTTTGATGATTTCTGTTATGGAATGTAAAACTTTGCACTGTTAGGTTTCTACCCCTTTCTTGCCATTTCCTGTCTTTGGATTCTTATAATGTAGATAAGGTGTCTTCTCTGGGTCTGCATCTTCTCTGAGGCGCCTGTTGAGCTCTACTTCACATTCATATCTGCTCCTCTAGGACTTTGCAGTTGTGCAGTTTGCTAAAAAGTAAGCAACCATTGGTGGGAGCCAGCATGAGACACCCAGAATATGAATGTAGTAAGGGTCGCTTTCTGTGCCTCATTTTTCCTTAACTGTAGCTGATCAGAAATTGGATGAACCTTCGGGATGCTGAAACAGGGAAGATACTCTGGCAGGGGACAGAAGACCTGTCCGTCCCTGGAGTGGAGCATGAAGGTACTTCCCAGCTCTTTATCTGCAAGGGTGTAGCCTCAGCCACACAGTGCTAATAGTGGTTGAGGCAGCCTGAACATTCACAAACTGCTTGATGTTTCTAGTTCCTTCCTTAGGTTCCTTTTTCCATCTTATGCTGAAATTTCAGCATTGCTCCATCCCAAGGATGTAAACTAAGATGGCAACTTTTTTTTTTTTTTTCCCAAAAGAAAAAATTCACATTTATCACCCAGAAGGGAAAGGAAAGAGTAAGGAGTTAAAGCCAACAGGGTAGAATAGAGAGAGGGAACCAATTCAACACTTTCCTGACGAGAGAGGCTGGGTGAGGCCTTAGATAGCCCTCTCTGTAGTTCCTTGAAGGTCTTTCAGTCAAATGTAGTTGACCAATTAGGGACCCCTGCCTTCAACTCAAAAGTAAGGGACAGTTAGCAAGGTATTAGCTGATTCTGACAGAAATTTAACATATATAACATGGTATCTAAATCAGCTGGGCAGGAAGTTCCAGAAAGTTCCAGCATCTTGCTTTTCCTAGAGAATGAATGGCTTCAATCCTTTTCTCTTAACAGCCCGGGTTCCTAAGAAAATCCTCAAGTGCAAAGCCGTCTCTCGAGAGTTGAACTTTTCTTCAGCCGAACAAATGGAAAAGTTCCGCCTGGAACAAAAAGTATACTTCAAAGGGCAATGCCTAGAAGGTATTCTCATGCCAGGGTACCTACAATGGGGCCTGAGCGGGCGGGGACAAAAGGCAGATCCCAGTAAACCAAGGGAATGCTTTGATCCCATTCATTTCACAACGCAGTTTGTAATAACTTTATTCCTACAGCCCACAGGATTGGGGGCCCCCAGTGAAAACAAACAGAACCAAGTCAGCCCCACAGGATTCTGTGAGGACCTCCAAAGAAGACTTTCTCATGCCAAGGAGCCTCATATGGTTCCTGGTTGTGGAGGCGCAGCTGGGGCCGGTCTAGGGCAGTGTCCGCGAGACTGGCAAAGTCATCCTCTCAATGGGGTGTCGCCCATGCAATCTGGGAGTGTACATTCTGTATTTTCTAGCTCAAATACCAAGTGAAAAACACCCATTCTGTACTGCCGTGTATAATGTACACCCAGCCAGCTCCCAAGAAAACTCTGCAAACTCTGTGTCCTGTCCACTGGCCCTAGCCTCGGTTGTTGTTGTTGTGAATTGCTGTCGAGTCGGTTCTGACCCGTAGTGACCCTATATAGGGTTTCCGAGGAGCAACTGGTGAGCTTGAACTGCCGACCTTGCAATTCAGATGGCTTTGCAGTCTGGCTCATTAACCTACAGCGCCACACCAGGTCTCCCGAGTTTAGCCTCTGGTATGGTTCCAAAAACAGCCTGAATGGGGCGCCCGAGCCCTTCTGTCTCTGGTCTAGTGGTTTCTGATGGCTTCATTTGGTGGCTCTTGGGCCAAGAAGGGGCTTCCTCTGAATGAGGGCCCTCAAGAGCCCTTCCACTGTATACTGGGGCTCTTGCTCACCTTGGCTCTTCTGTTCTTCTTCCTTCAGAATGGTTCTTCGAGTTTGGCTTTGTAATCCCTAACTCCACAAATACCTGGCAGTCCTTGATAGAGGCAGCACCCGAGTCCCAGATGATGCCAGCCAGCGTCTTAACGTGAGTGAGAGGGGAAACTGAGAGGCCAGGACCCTAGGCTGAGGATGGGTAAAGGAGTACCAGGGATACCCTAGTCCACAGGCTACTGACTTGGTTCGTGTGGAAAGCCCGTGTGCTACAGTGTAAGGAATCCAAAGCTTTCCATTAGGACGCGTGTTCAGCGCCTGTCTCACCCTGACTAGGACAGTATACTTGAGCTCTAGAAGTCTTGGCCATCACATCTCTAAACATCAAATTTATCATTCTCTCTTAAATTTAGCTTATATTTACCAAAATATACTACTTTGCCCTTCCCCAGTACTTTGTTTGAATTATCTTGAACAGAACCCAACAAGTCCTAATATTAGTTTTGAAGGTAATATTTGGCAATGATGTTTCAGAGAACTTAACCATCTTAATATCTGTATTCCTGCTCAGAGAACAATTTGTTTGTCCTTTGTCCAAAAATACTGTCAACATCTTCCCACCTGCCATTTTTTCTTCTAAAAAGGTGTTAATCTTTCAAATATGTTTGTAATTGTGTTTGCAAAGGAATTTTTTGTACAGATAATTATGTAACACTGGACAGTCTCTTTAACCAGCTCTCTTATGAAAGCCACAGTGACTTTGTAAGTACAGTTGTTTAACTTGTAAGTCTTCTACAGGTTTTATTTCATTACAGTAGTAGGTACAGTAGTAGGTATTTTTATTTCATTACAGTAGTAGGTACAGTAGTAGGTATTTTTATTTCATTACAGTAG